GCGACTTAAGACTGCTTTTGTGCTCCAGGGTCACAAATATTTAAAAAAAACCTACAAAGATGTTTAATGGGACCAAAAACTAGTTTATATGAGAACATTTGATGGTAAAAGATTACAGACTGTTTATCTGTTGGAATATTGTTCATTTCCCACATCAAGAAATAGTATTTTTGCTCAAAATAATGTCTGAATATCAGTGCATTTTCTCTTTCTTATCAAGAATTATTCATACATTTCTTTCAAATAAAAACACTTGATATTTTCTATATAAAGCAATGAATTTTTTTTTACTTAACCTTGTGTAAATACTTCTTGTGGCCACTATATATGCAAATAATGCATTTGTAGATTGTTCAAGTTTAGTTTTTTAAAATGTTCACAGTAAAAATGTTTATTATTTTAAATGTTGAATATTAAAAGCGTATGTATATTTCAATAATAAAGAGCCCTTTTAGCTTTATGCCTCTTTTAGTATTCGGTTCAGTGCTCTAATGATAAGACTTACATTTTCACACAGGATTTTCTGCAGGCCTGTTGAGTGTCAAACTGGTTTTTGTTGCCTTGGCAACCTCCAAACCAGAACTGAGCACATGAATTGGCTTTTGGATCAAAATACCATTTAACAACATACTCTCGACACGGACCGGGATCCAGAGGCTGAAGGCATCCCTCGTCTGACACGAGAGAGAGAAAATGTTATTTACAGGAAGTCAGAATTGCAGGTATTATTTGTATCGTACCACTTTCGAGCAGCATTTACCTGGTGTAAAATCATCCTGTATGAGCAGCGGTGGGTCAGTCCCGTATGTGTCCTGTTTGGGCCGGTCCAATGGCGTGAGAGAGAAATCTGGGAGGAGGTTCAGCTCGTCTCTTTCCAAATATGGTGCTATAGTGCCTAAAATGTCAGTTCCGTCCGCTTTGGGATCATAGTAGGGGAACAACTCTCCAACTGCACCTGGCTGATCGATTTAATTTAATAATATTAAATATGTATGTGTTCATAACTAG